TTTTATTTTTCATTGAACAATACTGCTTCAGACTATTCACAGCTGTGGTTTCTCTGAACTCAGTAGTCTCATTTCCTTCTCCTAAATTGTGGCTGAGCCCATGACCGAACATTTCAATGGCAAGGGTTGAGAAGATAAAAAATTATTATTTAAAAAAGTAGATATTTTTAGTACCAACTAAGGGAAAACTTCCTAGCTAGGATTCTGGATAATACATTATAAAGGTAGTCAGACTATCACAGATACTGCAATTTGGAGAATCCCTACATGACTTGCTAGGATCTGGGACAGCTGCCTAACACTTCTTCTCAAAGAGAATTACTCACTTTCACTCATGGCTGATACCTGGCTCTGTAGTAAAGCCACTTGCAAAATACCTATTTTTAAAAATTACCATTTTTCAAGTGGAAAAAGCACATTTCTCTGTTTGTTTAATGAAAAATAATATCTTTAAAAATTAATAAATCAGCTTTATTCTAACTTTCTGTACATAGTTGAAGATTTAACTTAGAAGCAGACCTGCTCAGATGTATTCAAGCATAGCTAATCTATGGAGGGAGGTGGGGGCCTCTCTTCCAAGTTCTCTGTTCCCAGTATAGTAATTGATTACAGCAGTGTCCTGCTGAGAAGCCAAGATTAATAAATTGCTTTTCACTGAGCTGTCTAACTGGCAAAAGAGAGTATGTAGAAATTTCTCTCTATATTGATTTGCATAATGAGGTAAATCCCTAAGCAGTATTTGCACTACTTCAAGAGTTTAGGAGTTTTGAATCATCTTGTGGAAAAGTCTGTTTCCTTACTGGCTATATTGAGAATCACATCTTTCCATCTCCTTTTTCCCCCTACAATCCCTGTTCTAACAACTGACCCATTCCTTTAACTGCTATACGTTCCTTTAACTGCTATATGATATATACCAGCTTAAGTATACCACAGCTGACATCCCAACACCGTACTCTCCAGTTGGTTGTCCTAACATGCTTTGTTATGAAAAATACAATATTTTCACAGTAGCTGGATTAACTATTCTAATCTTGTTGAAATGCTCTCTTTTAACAGTGATCAGTTCACCAGAATCTTACCAGTTTCCTCAACTGGGGGAATCCTCATGTAAGTAACTGGACATACATCCTGAGTGATACTAAAACTTCATCTGTTTTATTTCCCTACTATGCCTTTCAGGCCAGTTATACATCTGGCCTGATACATATCATGTATCATGTATGTCATGTATATCTCATATATCATATATCATATCAGTTCATCTATCTGCAGAATACAATCAAAACCATTCAGATTTCCAGAGATCTGCTCGTATTCTTTCCAGCGTAAATTTGTTTTTATAAAAATGCAACACTGTTTTGTAACAAGGCAAAATCAAAGATTGCTTTGAGTACTTCTTGAAGGAAGTGTGAAATGGTCAAACCTAGTAACAGTTAGCTGAGTTAAACAATAAAGTGAAAGCTACTCCCTGCGTCCTTTACCTTTTCACATGCAGCTCCTGCTTGATTAACTGGGCGAGAAGTTTGTGTGTCCAAGTGCATTTGCCATGAGAAACTTGCATGTTCCCTGAAAAAGTTCAAAAGTTATGAAACAAATATAAACACAGTTTCTAAATAGATGGTACTAGTTATCCTGGGCATATACACTGTCAAGACACCTACGAATTGCACCTTTTGACTGTTTGGAGGCTATCAGTAGTGCAATAGGTAACAGGCAAACAGGAGTTTTGATGCTACAGTGTATGAATGCCTGCCACATTTCATGAGTGAATGAAATTACCCCTCCTCACTAACCCCCAGCCCAACTCTTCTGGTTTTGTTTTCTTATTTCCCCTTTCACTCTGTCACTTGGCTCCCTGTCACCACTCACTTTCAGCTGGCTCCCTTACCTCTGTATCACACAGGAAGCCAGTTCATCACACAAAAATAAGTGAAGCTAGACAGCTAAAACAAAGCAAATAGTGCAGCAAGTTCACTTGGCTTATAGGCACTAAAGCCAGATAAATACCAGGACAGAGCATAGGCAGAGCGAGCTGCAGAGCTGGAAGCAGAGGCAAGCAGTTAAAACAAGCTAGGGGTCTGCCTTGCTGCACTGGCAGCAGTTAGCTCAGCTCAGCCACGCTGTGAGCCAGTTACAGATCCATACCTTAGAGTAGGGTGTGGGCATCACTTCTGTGGGATCTTGGCACCGCAGAAAGCTTATCTGGGAAGAAGATGCAGCAATGCAAAGCTACAGTGCCTGCTAAGGCCACGTGCTCTTAATGTGGTTTTGTGTTGGAAAGAGGGGGGCTAAAAATCTTCAAAAGGCTTCTTGTTTCTTCAGTAACATCCTTGTACTGTTGGTCTTCCTAGGATTCTCTTACATATTGGAAGTGAAGCATGTGCTCTCAGGTTTTACTGGATGAGACTGAAAGCTGACTCTGCTGCTTATGGATATAGAAAATCCACTGGTATCATTCTAGCCCTCAGTGACTTGCCTTCTTCATGTGACATTAATCAAGAACTTTGTTGGCAGTTGCGGCAGAGAGGTCAAAACCTATGCAGGCATGGCAGTTTGATTTTCCTGCCCCTACACCTTAGTTGAGTCAGCGCAGTAGGCTATGGATTGTTATTTTGTGTTGCTACCCTCACTGTACCTCTACTGTGCACAGAGGATTTCATTTCCAGGATTTTTAAAACAGCAATTTCCATGAGTGTGAAATACAAATGAAAAATGTTAGAGAATGTTCAGAGGATTGTGCTTACTGCAGTAGGCATAACTTTTATCTAAACCCATGTTCTGTTTATTTCTGTTCTTGCCCATTAGTTATTTTGCCAGTCCAAGAAAAGCCAAAACCTCTGGTGGGATGTTGAGCAACTGACTGCTACATAAACAGGTTCCTCTGAGCAATGTCTTAATTTTGCAGTTACTGATGAATGTGAAGCAGAGATAAAGTGCATTCTAACTTAACTCTGAAAGTCTTCTTGCCATCAGCAGTAGGATTTGAACTTGGCTGTAATGAATCACAAGATGTACCAGAGTGTCATGGTTTAAACCCAGTCAGGTAACTTGTTCACTCACTCCCAGTGAGTGGTGCCGAGCTGACAACAATCGAGGTCCGTGTCCCCCCCCCACCGGGGTTCTCCCCCACTCCCGGAGGAACGGGGAGGAGAATCGAAAGAGTGCAACTCCCACGGGTTGAGACAAGAACAGTCCAGCAACCAATGTACACAAATCACCACCGCTACTATCAACTACAACAATGATAAGGGAAAATAACAAGGGAAGAGAATACGATACCACCGGCCAAGAAGACGAGTTCCACCCGGAAGCCCCTGTCCTTCCGGGTAACTCCCAGTCACCCCCCACCCCTGCCATGACGTGCTGTGGTATGGAATACCTCCCTGGCTAGCCCGAGTCAGGCGCCCCATCTCTGCTTCCTCCCAGCTTCCCCTCCTCCCTGGCAGAGCATGAGCCTCACAAAGTCCTTGGTCAAGGTAAACATCACTTAGCAACCACTGAAAACATCGATTTCACCAACACTGTTCTCAGGCTGGAAGTCAAAACACAGCACTGCTACTGCTGAACCCAGGACACAGAGAAAAAGTAAATATCTCTGGGGACTGAAAGGATAACAGTGCATTCTTCCAACTTTACTTATGCACTGGCTGTAGCAAATGCCAAAAGATGATAACGTATGCAATGAATCATGTCAGCCATAACTGCAAAGGAAATGTATTTCATGGCTGGTTAATTCTTAATTGAATCTGGTGACTCTGGCCTAAAATAGAGAGCAAAATATGTCAATGATCAAAAGTCTTGTGAAGTCCACACTTGTTGCAATTCATGCACTTCTATGTATCCTATCCAATTTTCAATCAGAAAATGGTATTTCCAACCCTCATTTCAGATCTGAGTGAACAGAATAAAATGGAATGATTAAAAACTCCGAGAAGAGTTTTCATCCAGTTGATGGTGTCTCAGATTATGGTTATTCCAGCCACTCCTACTCAGTAACAGCAATAGTATTATGAGAAAAAGGAGGTCAGAAATTGACCAAAATAGGGGAGGAAGGAAGGAAGGATAATGGTCACATCTGGGGATGACTTATAGTCCAGTCCTGACAGTGCAGCTGCTGTCTCATCTGACCAAACATCTCACTGACACTGAACGATCTAGTCATTCCTTAGTAAGAAAGTGGCAGGATTGGAGAAACATTGGCAGGGCTGGAGACAGTGTGACTATACCCATTGTTCCCTTGGGGTAAAATGCATTCACATTTTTTTGTAAACACATGTTATTTTCCGCCCATATTTTATCTTTCACAAAACAAATTCATCTTGCTTTGTTGTCTGCAGGCAAGAGAGGATATGTAGGGAGATTCTGCTGCTCTGGAGCAGAGCACTTCTGCCATGGCCTTTGTGTGGTTGGACAGGTTTCCACATCTGTTTCCATCCCTTTGTGAGGCTAGTCCCCATTTGTGAAAAATTGCTGGAATACACTGATCAATACAGAATACCTGGGCATTTGACAAGCTTCAAAGTTTATGGTTTATCTGAAATAATATATTAGCATTAGCACCTCTAGCAATTTGCACTTTGGCATATACACTGAAAAGTTTATCTTTGTGCTCAGAATATGATAGTGATCAAAAGACTATTAGAGATAACTGTTCTCCATCTTTGCACAGGTAAGCTGGGGAAAACAGCTCTGTAGCATTTCTTTATGCTCCAAGAGGTAACACCTCTCTTGGACCAGGCAAGGCAAAAGATGGGATAAGAATTTCAGGCATACGATTGAAAACTGCATGTCATGAAAAACCTTCCCTTGTGCAAATCTGAGGATGCAGCAAAATCGTGAATTACAGAACAGACAAGCAGAGCTGGAGATAAACAAAATTCAGTGCTTCAGTTTCAGTAAGTGCAGCTTTTGTCTTTGAGACACTGTACATGCTGGACCGGGGAACAGAAAAATAATAGGGGGAGGCGATGTCAGACAGAGCTCCCTTTTGTGTTTCTGGTCTTCTTTCCTGAAGGGAAGGACGGAGAGGTGCAATTTTAGGCGAGACAGCAAACGGCTATAGAGCCACCTTCAGGCTGTGCCCTTCGGGGGTGCCTCGCAGGTCCCCGCGGGTGCGCCCGGGCCGGGGCCGGGGCTGGACTGGAGCGGGCGAGGAGCATCCCCGCCGGCGGGGCACCATGGCAGCTGCCGGGGAGGTGGAGCCAGCCGCTGACCTGCCAGCATCGGAGCACGCTATCGGCTTTGAATAAATCCTCCCTGTTTCCTTCCTACCTCCGCCGAAAAACGCGAGGAAAAATAAAAAATAAAAATATTATTAAAAATAATTATATATATTTTTAAAAGCAGGGCTGGCAGGAGAAAACAGGAGAGAAGCCGGGTGCGTGCGGCCGCCGGCTGCGGGAGGTGCATGAGGAGCTCGGCTGGGGGCTGCCGCCATGGAGCACATCCGGATGCCCAAGGTGGGTACCGGCGGGCGGGCGGCGGGGCCGGGAGAGGAAGCCTAGGCCCCGGCAGCACTCCAACAGCACCCTACCATCCCTCCGGCCGGCTGCTGCTTCTGCTGGAAGGAGCCTTTGGCCGGAGCCTGTGGCTTGAGGCTGTGCACAGCCATCCTCTGCAGGCTTTGTAGCTGATGCGGAGCTTTTTTTTCAGCAGGTTTGCTGTGAAATCCGCACAAATACTCGTTGTTTTGCTATGTGGGCTGAAGATTTGTCGGGTATTTTTCCTAGTTTTTATTCTGTCCTTCCTGTAACACTGATGGTGTCCATGAGTTGTAGGTATCCAAAATCAGGTCTGTTGTCTGCTTCTTAGATGCCTTTCATTTATCCCAGTATTTCAGACCTGGTGATGACTTTGTGTTTGTATACCAGCATTTGGGCAGCATGAGGCCTGTATTTGTTAACAGAATTGCCATCGTGCCCCAAAAAAGAAGATACTATTTTGACACATGAATATTGCAGGTTAAAAATAATAATCCCAAATGAACGAATAAGTTAATTTGAAGTGGGAGTGGGATTTTTTTCACATATATTTATGTATTTATTAACCCAAACCCCTGATTATTTGTGTTTGATTTGTGGCTATTTGTCTTTTATCAATATTTAGTATGATGACTTGATTTTGAGATGAGGGCCTTTTCTTACTTTATCTACATTTTGGGGTCTTTAGGTGTTGAGGTGCAAATATATTAAAAAGGTAGGCAGTTACAACAACTGCCTTTCCTCACATCTCATTTAATGATCAATTATCTCCCTGTGTGGGAAGGAAGAATCTCAGAATATCAAGAATGTATCCTACTGCAAGTAGGAAATTATCAGTGAAAGTTGTCTCACAGATGCTTCTGACCATTAGCTGAAGAATGCTGAAAGCATGAATGAGGAAAATAGGGAAAATAAATGAATAAAGGTAGAAAAAATCCTAAAAATAAATAGTCATATTTGTAGTGAATGGAAAGCCCAGGCAAGCCCAGGCAATGGAAGCTTCTCTGTTAGCTTTTCTACAAGCAAGTCCTTAAAATGTTACTATGCATATGCAAATCCCATTTCTGTATCCAACAGCTCTGAGTAGGCAGTATACTGATGACTCAAGACACCAGAAATCTTACTCAGTGCAAGGTGATTCTGCAGTACTGGTTCCTAGCATTCCCTTACATTACAGCTATGCCAAAAGTTATCCTTCTAATGCAATAATGCAGTTTAGAAGGAATTCTTTAAAGGTTCAAGTGATACAAAAATCCTTTAATATTTCCTACATAAATGTAGAAAATCCAGGACACTCAACATGAGTCAGTATTGAAATACCTCATCTCTCCAGTTACTCTTAAGTACACTGACAAGTCAGCATACATACAGTTACCTGGCAGAACTGGTATCTTTGCTTTGTTTGCTCAAAAAATCTCAGCTTAAATCAGCCACCAGAACAGTGATGTCTTTTTTGGGGGGGGTTGCTTTTACTGATGTTTTTTTATTATTTTTTAGAATTCAGAATGTAATGATGAATGGTTTCCAGTGCCAGTAATGTAAAAATAAGTGAGGGAAAGCTATGTGAATATAGGGGTATTATCACTGTATCCGGTAGTCATTTCTGGTGTCACATTTCCTCACTCCATCCAATTTTGTCCTGAGAGACATTTGACAAGCAACTGCCCTACTCTGTAAAGGTATTAATCTCAGATAATGATACTTTCCTTGATTTGAAAACCCAGCAAAATGGGAAATCAAGATAAATACATACTTAAAAAATTAATAAACTTAATAATATCTGAAGATTAAATTCCTGCCCCAAGTAAAAGCTTTTCCTTCAAAAAGGAGTAAAAAAGTCTATATTACATGACATCCATTAGGACTTGGCAATTGTTTTTTATTTTAATTGAAATATAAATATAGTGAGTGATGGATCATAAATATTAAAATAAATCTGATAAAATAACTGTCATTAAAAAGGCAGAAAGAAATTCCATACCAGCTGGACAAGTAGTTCATTTAGATCACTACTCTGTGTCTGACAGTGACAGAAGGAGAGCAATATAAACCTGGCCACATTCTGTACCCTCAGTTGTATTAGCGTCCAACCTTTCCTAGTTCTATTAGTGTCCGTTTATGGACCTCTCTGTGTGAGTTTGCCAAAGCTGCTGACAGCCCTATACCTCTGCAGTCTGCATGGAAACAAGTTACAGAAGATTGTGGCTACAAAAGAATACTTTCTTCTAGCTATTAAAAAGTTCTTCATAGTTTTATTCAATACTCTCTGCTTCTAGCTTCAAGGGTTTGATCAATAACAGTTCCATGTTTGCCTTCACTGTAAATCTTGATCACAACCCATCAGATTCTGACAATTTTGGAGAAATGTCAACAGTGACCCTAAGACCTCTTTCCTGTGTGGTAACTATTCATTCTCTGTCCATGGTTGTGTAGATATGGTTTAGGTTGTTTTTCCTTTAGGCACACTGTTTTGTGTCTCTCTATGTTGAATCTTTTCTGTGACTCTTTTGCCCACACAAGTCAAGGCTCTTCTGGTGTTTTTGTGCCACAGATTTCACTTTTTAAGACAGCTTATGATCATCTACAGAATTGAAGATTTCGCTGTATATTCTTTACTTCAGGTCATTGAAAAAGTTGAATAAAACCAGTCCCAGCACCAGACTTTGTAGGACTTAACTGTTGATTCTTCTCCAACCTGAAAAGAGACCATTATCCCTAGTCTTTGCTTCCTGTCAGCTTCATTTGTAAATGGACCTTTCCTCCAGTACCATGGCAATTTAGTTTCTCTAATAACCTTTGATTATCAGAAGTTTTTTTTAACTCCAAATATGTTATGTTCTCTGGGTCCCCTTTACCCATGTGCTTTGTAGCAGCATCACAGGATTTCAGCAGGATTTCCTGCTGCAAAAGCCATTCTAGTTCTTTCCCAGCAGACTGTGTGCATCCACCTGAAAGAACAATTCTGTTCTTTCACATGCTGTTGCCGTAACTAAGTATTTTTGCTAACGATACATTGTCTAGTCTTTCACCAAAAGACATGATGCCTTTAAGTCTAGTTCTGAAGAATTCAGCTGCTGTTTCTCCTTAGCAAGTAAAAGTAGCAGAAAGAGAAGCCAGGTCTCTTGACAGCTGTCTGTTAGACGAAACTGCTTCTCTCTGTTATTTTTGAAATGGTATTCCCTAGACCTTCTGGACCTTCCGGACCTTCCCTGGACTCTCCAGATAGCCAAATTCTTAACACACTATTTATTGTACTGAATGCTATTGTCATATCATTATACTATGGGTAGAACACAGATTGCATGCATGATGTGTGCTTGTACATAGGTACATATTCAGTAATGATAGATTCACAAAGTAAATGCTGTCCTACGTATGAAGGCTGTAATTTGAATGCAGTTAAGAGTTGCTAAAAGTCACTCATTGCTAAATGGAATTATATATAACTCCAATAATATTTAAAAAATTACGAATTAGTAAACTCACTGACTGCTATGTTATGGATTGAGCAGCAAGATAGTTTTGGACAACTCTCAAAACCTGAAATGTGACAAACTGCTCCTAACAGTCATAAAATATTAATACATGACACTCCTGCACAGACTAGCGGCACATCTTGTTAACACGCGTAGAGATATGTATGGCCGTGGACAGGCTGGCAGATAAACAGCTCTGAAGATACGTATACCCCCCACAGGGACTTTGTGAACCGTTCCTAATCAGTTACCTGATTTTATTTTATTTACCACTGTTCCATATCATTTGGCTTTATATATTGGCAGGAGGCCTACCGAATGGCCTACTTATAATAGACAATACATCAGATTTATCCCTGGTGTAAGGCTGTCTTCAGTGGAGCTAGTCCAGAAATTCATTTGGCTCAATGTCTCATGTTAACAGCATACTTGGGATAACTTGAGTTGCTCAAGTGCTTTCATTTTTGTGACGACATGGTAAGGTATTTCCTTTCAGTGATCCCTTTCACAGGCAGAGTTTAAGATACACTGCCATTTCTCATGATAATGTCAGATTTTTCTACCAGATGTACTACTTTCCAAAACAAATTTCCAGTGTGTGTAAATGAGTTCTGTTTCCTTTTAGTTTCAATCTATTTTCTGTTCCTTGCTTTTCATTCAAAAAGTTTTAGAATAATGTGAGTTTTCCCAAAGTCTCCATCAAAAGAGCCATGTAATTTACATCCACTTTATAAATGACACATGTAAATGGCAAAATAGTTGTCCACCTAGGTCAATGGCAAAATTAAACCCAGCACACCTAATCTTTACTTTGCAGCTACATGCTCTGGGCTATGGATCTCCACCTTTTTTTATGCTAAGCTGGGTATTTCTACCATTGCTCTCTTTGTGCCTTCTGTTGAGGTAAGAAGTGACATTGTAGTTAAGTTCTCCATATTCAGGCTACAATTCCTTTTGGAGAAGTTTGATTTTACTTGTGATGTAGGAAGGTGTCAGCAGTCCTAAGGCAATATTAGGAGTTAGTTGAGGATGTGGGCTCCTTGTTTACCCTACAAGCCAGGGAATGCAGTGCTGCAGGCATTGCACTGTAGTAGTCCTAGCACTTGGTTAACTTTTACTTAGTTTGCTACTTAGGAAAGGTAAAGGATGTGAGGTTGGCATGGCCCTTGCCTTTTATTGGTGTTTTGGGTATTCAGCTTACTGTGGACACATCACTGCAACCTCTTTGAAGTGCAAGTCGATTTTCTGCTTTTCAAATCTTGTGTAAAGGTGGTTGTCATTCTGTCCTCTAAGTATACAGCTTAGAGCAGTGCACCTTACAGTTCAGCTGGTGCTTTCTGATTCTGTAACTATTTTCTCACTTTACATCATGGTTAGGAAATGTTTAACATGTTCTGGGGTCAGTGATGTTTAATGATTTCAGACACATCATTCTACTTGACTGCTTATACTCAAAGTGATGCATTGAAATCAACACTGATTCTGGACACTTTTGACTCTGAT